GAGCCCCATCTACCCTGGGCAACTGGTTATGAGGCGCCAGTGACTCGCCTTCGCCCCTTCTCCTGTCAGTAGTGCCAGTTTCGCCGCGTGGAGGCCAGGAGTTGGACTTTGACTCTCAGAGGCTATTTGAGACGCACGCCGTGGGAAGCACTTTGAGAGGCTGTGGGAGCCCACACCCATAGCCCACTTCCCGGCTGTGACAACCTTCGACCAATTTACACCGACCAACACACCGACCAATTTAACTTTAGTGAAATTCGCATATCCCAAGGGCCTGACTGGGCGTTTCCGTTTCTGTCCCAATTATGGCTCTTGCTCTGGATCATGTAAAGTACCCCAAGTATAAAAAATGATAATTAAAGGCAAATATTGAGCCCTCTGTATTTCCACTTTTTTACAGCGCGATAAGTAATTCCTCTTTACCTGGATCAAGTTTCATTGAAAGGATGCTAATCAAGGCTCCATCTCTTTCGTATGAAGTTCAGGCTTGAATCATTGATTATCAGTTACGGAAAGTTAAAATTGAAGAAGTTCAAGTTGGAGATATCAATTGTTCTAGGAAAATATTGAATTCATTACAATCACCGAATGCACTACACGAGTATTCAAAACTAACGTCAGGTCACAGATACGAACTTGTCTCAAATATTTCAATTTAACTTTGTAATTAATTATGTTTTGCAGCTTTTTTGCTCTGCTTCGTCTCCGACTAGAACAAATAAAGGTAACAGCCGAATATGACTAAGATTTTGCGCCAGTAAAGTTTTTTTTTGCAATTTCTTTTTCTTCGTGTTTCTCCGTTCTCTTCCTTTCGCCAGCAAATTCATCGCGATTGTCCTAAATAATAACCAGTCAAATATGGCTTATTTGACCAAGAATCTGTTATAGTTTGCTGTTTCCTTCCAACGCCTTATTAAAAAAGACGTGAAAAACATTAATAGTTTCGTTTCAAGTAAACGTATATGAATACGTCAGGTGATTGAATTCTCTTAGTTACGATTCTCTCGAGCGATTAGAGATTCTCCTTTCATAATGACATATTGAAATACAGAAGTTAACATTTTTTTATCAAGATGGGAATTGAGGGGATGAATATTCAAAAACTAAACACTTGATGAACAATTTATTTCATTTTACCTTTCTGAACATCAAGTGTTACGTCTTTAACAACTCTAATTCATCTTTCAAGCTCTCCGCCAAATTCTCCGTGTGCTTCATATACTGGTGAATAATTGTTAAATGTACCTTTTCAAAGTCAAGAAGACATTAACCAGCTACAACAAACTCGTCCTCGTTTTGAGTCTTGGGCTCCATCAAATACTAACTCATTCATTTGGCTCCGACCCCACATATTTTTACTTTCAATTCCGTTGTTGCAGTCACTTAAGGGAAATAGCCGACACACCGACCAAACGAGTAAATTCATTGTTAAAACGATAAAACAATTTATTTACTTCTTGTATAGGAGTTCTTACCCATGAGATTCTCGTTCAAATCCTCTCTGATAATTCAGAATAGTGATTGCAGCTGAACTACCAGACAATTATATGTGGGCCGCAATTAGCTGCTTATCGCAATTACTTCAAAGTTAAGTTTTATTTAAGTACGTACAAATTATCACCTAAAGGTAATTCTCTTGTCAAACGCAAAGACATTGGCTATATCATTGTTTGATAATACGATATGGGGGAACTTTCTTTGGTCACTTCTTGAATGACAGAACAAACAGCATATTTCGATAACCTGTTATGCGGTAGAGCCGATGATTAAGTAAAATAATTCTCCCTGTATTGTACTAAATTCAGAACTCCAAAAAAAAGGCCTTGAATAACGCGCGGCTTAAAAGAAAAAGAAGTGATATTGAAGGACAGATAATCGCTCATATCTGGTAGACATAGAATAAATAATACTTGGAGTCAACTTAACGGTACACCAGGAACAAAATGGATATAAAGAGACCCTTTATATCAAATATTTTAAAAGATGAGTATATTTGTTTATTTGAAATTCCTATTTAAACCCTGGAGAAAATCTAACAAAAAACGACCGATCTGAAAGACAACTCTGTAACAATAGCTGACAGTCAAATTTTGTTTCTAACGCTTTCTTAAAATTTTTGAGTATTTACGAGTAACAAAAATATCTTCAAATAATAATAAACATGACAGACATTTTTCTTATCACAAAACAAATTTATGACTGAAACTCGCCTGCGCGTCTGGCAATATGGCATCATGCCGTCAATTGCCCGCTTTCAGAATAGTAAAATAATTTAAATTATTTTTTAAAACTATTTTTTTCGAAAACACTTATCAGCTCGAGCAACGTTTTTATAAACTGTTGTCCAAAGTATTTTCCGATGCCTACATATCGATTAGAATAATAAACAAAAAAGTGTAAAATGAATACTTTCTCGCCGCTTATGGCTTAGTGTATTCATGACAATTTTTGATGGGAAGAAACATTTCTTCTAAAAAGATTTGGTTAGTGTCTTCATTGCCTTTCCTTAAGTTGTTTACGTGAAATTGAAAATGACTTTAGGCGTTTTCCAATAATACTGGTGACTTCGTGGGACAAACTTGAAGGTATTGAAAAAAAAGAGAACGAAAGTAGCTCTAATAGGATCTAACTCCCTGGACGGCAAAGTGTTCGTCTGATTGTCTGCTTTACTGCTTGCCTCACCTCAATAATTTTCCAACAGTAAAGGAACGGGTTTAACGTCGAGTTAAAGTGAACTAAGACAACTGCTACATCCCATATTTCTATTAATTGTAATGAATATGTTTTACTGTTAGTGATTACAATTGTCACTATGAAGAATGGTGCAGCACAAACAACTAATGCTAACTGCACCCATAGTGCACTGTACAATGCCTTTTTGTATCGCGCCATGTTCAGTGCATTTCGTTGACTCGGCTGTTGTTGGACATGATCTTGTACTTGAGCGTGATGATGACTGAGACCCCGGAAAATTTTTACATACGAGGCGACCGAAATAACAAGGCAAGATGGTATAATTATATGGCCATACCAACTAATAATACGGTAATCTGATGTGTAGCACAACGCAATGACACTAGATGCAATCCAAAAGGTGGTTACAATGATGTATGTGCGCTTCAAAGTTACAATTTGTCTGTATCTTAACCCCAACAGCAGGGCGAGGAGTCTGTCCACGCTTATGGCCGTCATCGTCATTAAAGCCACTCCATCTAATGCATGGGCTGTGATGAAGGCTGAGTCAAATGCGTATCGACAGAGATTCCATTGCTCGTGACCCAAGGAAATCCAATAAACACCTTGGAGAGGCTGGGCTACAACACCAATCAACAGATCAGTTGTTGCCAGACAACAATAGAAGAGTTTGGATGGCGGATGAAGGGAAGATTCTTTGTGAAGGGCAACGAGGATAAGAAAATTCCCAAGAAATGCTGTGATGGAGAGAAGAATGTAGATTATTAGGAGAGAAATTTTAAATTCTTGCTGAAGCCCACCAACCAGAGATGGGGAGCAATGAAGCTCTTGAAATGTCTCGGTCTGTGTTCCACCTCTACTGAAGTTTGTTGTCGGCATGATAGTGTGTTCGTTTCCTTTTTCTTGGAGTGAGACTATCTGAGATTGCAACGGGAAATATTTTGTCTAAACATCAACACAACGACGATCATTAAAACTGTACTCAGGTAAAGACTTTTCATCATCGTTTACTCATTTGAAAAACGTCACGGAGAAAATTGTCTGATGTGTCAAAAAAGCCTATTTTTGTCGCTTTAACTTGTCAGGTATATCACGTGTACAATAGGAATAAGAAGCAAATATATGAAGATAATAAAGGCTGATAGTTTCGAAAGAAACTGTTTGGGGCTGCGTCGGTGGGAGTAACGAAATAATTTGGATATATCAACAAAGTTGAAATGGTAAATTGGCCACCGTAATGATTACAAAAGCTGACGTTTCGAGCGTTAGCCCTTCGT